ATGATAGTTGTTACCTGTTATTTGAAAATAATATCTAATTTGATTCTTTATAACCTCCTCCCACCTCCAGGTCAGGTCCAATCCATTAAAACTAAGTTTAAATACTATGTTTTGAGTAAAAATATATTTTAAACTTTACTTAATACCCATATCAATATTATTTGTTAAAATATAACTGATCGTCTATGCCTATTATTTAAAATTAAAAAAATTCCGAAGGTAGGTCCAAGGCCTTAAAAATTTTGAAAAAATTTCCCCAACCAAAGATCATAAAAATTTTGATAGTTGAGAACTTAAAACATCATAATGAATTTAAAAATACAATCAAAATCAGTATTTATGAGCCTTGTTTTAATAGTTTTAAGTGAATGTCTGATCCATAGTTAATAATAAAAAAATTCACTTGTGTCCAAGCTGATAATAATTTTAAAACCCCAAGCGTAGCGCTTTGCTATTATATCCTTGTTTATACAACCTATTTACGAGGATGTGGATATAATCGAATGTTTCGGCCTTTATGGCTTTGAAATTCCTAAGGCTTTATTTAGTTATCAAAATCGAATTCGACAATGTATGGTAATATGAGAAGTTGAATAATAATACACAAATATGATCGAAAAAGACAATAATGAAAAATAATTAGTTGCATATTTACAATTCGTTCTTTGCAATTGTTCATTGTTTTTGTTGTAATTTGATTTTGGATTCTTAGCCTCGTACATCTTCTGAGTTGATGGAAATGTTTTCAAGATTATAGGTTATCGTTGATTCGCTGCTACCTGGTAGTGGGAAACCTGAGATAGACGGGGTCCCTTGTGATGATTGTAGCTGTTGTATTGAGGGGATGGTTTCCTTACCGAACATTGAGACATCTTGCTCGTGTAATTATACAGGCCCATGTAGTATCGCCTCTGAAAAAAGGTCCCGTTGTTCTCTCAGTTATCCCCACCATAGATGGTTTATCGGAAGGGCTTTCGTCTGTCGGGACCCATAGATATTCTGCAATATAGCCGTTGAAGTTTTTTACGAGACTGAGCTTAAGCAATATTTGGGTGATCACCTTTATGACATGGGATCTGGATCCACCTTTTCTAAATGTGTAGCACGCAATTGTGGTCTGTAAAGATCATGGGTGTTCTGTTGTCCTTATATATTGCCATTATAGCACCTATACCGAGAGCTAGTACCTCCTTTGCGTTAAAATGTTCGATGATGGGACCTTGAACAAGAGGCAAGCTTCTTGAACTGACATGTCGTTAAAACCCCTAAAGGATATATCGATATGAGATCCAGACGCATCAGTATATTCTGGGTCGTGTACATGATATCTGACCTTCAAAGGCTCCTTCAATGCATTAATAATGGCCGCCGCCTTTTGGAAGGTGTCGATAATTGGGGTTAGCGGGTCCATATTCATGGTATTGTAAAAGGGAGAAAATAATCTGGACATACAAGTTATAGTGTAAGTAACTACTTCTAGTATGTTGGCCGCTAACAAACGTCCCATCTAGATGTTGATATGGGTGCTGCCTGATGATCTCTTGACATTTCTCTAGTCTTCTTCTTGTATTGGTGTCGGCGCTAATCGTTTTTGTTTCGAGGTCGATAAGAATCCCGATATAAGCGATACGAGGGGTTTAATACTAATTTTTCTCTAGAAATTTCAAGCCCACAACCTTCCAGGGTGCATTTTAGTGATCTTGTTGACCATTTACCCTCGTTGTATCCATAGATTAATATGTCATCAAGATAGATATTGTAATTTGCTCTTATGACGATCTTTGCGAGCGCATCGAGAATAATTGACTGTAGACAATAAGGGCTGAAAAACGCACCCATAGGTAAAACATTGTATGCATAACGTGTTCTGTTGATGAAGAATCCGAAGAATCTCCTTACTTGTTGTGATAGAGGTATCGAGAAGAATGCAGATTTGATTTTGCATATGATCTTGGACTTTCATGGTTACCTGACATCAGTGGAATGGATTTGAGCCGGAAGGGGAGAGAAATCACTGATAACTCTACGGGAACCATCAGCCTTGGGTATTACATACAAAGGAGAACAAATTTGGTTAGAGTTGGTGGGCTTAATTATGTCTGCTTTCAACATTTGACGGACAATGTCTCTGTATCTATTGGAGATAGAAAAATTGTTGCGATGTCGGAAATAATGTTTATCATTCCCTGATTCTAAGATAATCCAGTGTGAGACGAAAACCTCTTGTTGCGACCAGGGTTTTAGTCTTGTTCTACTAATATCTAAACTGCGCAGCGCGTAGATGTTCATTCGTGATGCCCGTGTTTTCGTTACCGATACCATTGAGGATACAGGGCAAGTTTGGCACAGCGATTGACCCCACCTGGGGCATAACAGAATCATCGTCGTTGTTCGAAAATGGATTTCAAGGTCAAAGAATATGGAATTGTCACCACTATCACCGCTGCTGCTCGAGGACCACGACGTTGTGGTCGGTAGGATCCACTATTCGAAAATCCCGAATCTTCGGACTGGAAGGAAGGTCGTCGGACTCGGAGTCGACTGGCAGGCGATGGATCCGGGTCTTTGTGAATGGAAAGTTGATTATTGTCATTTATGAAATTATTTTTCAAGCCCAGACCGATCCATTATAATTTAAAATAATTATTCTTAAACCTGGACAACCGATAATAATTTTGAAATTTTTTCAGCTTCTAATTAAAAAATATTTATCAAGCCCAGCCAGACCCATATAATTCTAAAAATTCTCAAACCTGGCCAACCGAAGAATAATTTTGAAATTGTAATCCCAACCCTCGTATTCTTCTGTACTGAAGATTTTCCTATGCTTTTTAATGAATTTTGAAATAAATAATAAATAGAAAATGAGTTAAAAGGTGTGTACTAACTATACTATTACGAACTATAATGAGCCCACTTAATTTATAAATATCATTCGGAATCATATTAATTTCTATTTATTAATCCTGAAAATTTGTCAGATTATAAAATATAGGGTTTTAACTTTCCTAAATTTTTTTTATTAATATCTAAAATATAAATGATCAAGTTTGTAAATATTTTTTATCACTTTTAAAGTACATTTTCTTCTCAAAATATTTAATATTTTTCAAACCTTTTTTTGAGCATCACGTTAAGTTACTATTTCCAGTTTTATAAAATATTCACTTAAATTATAAATTGGAGTGACCTACCGATCCTCTGTATTCAACGTACCCTAGTCTCCACTAAATAATCATAAGTGAGATAAAGCCGCATTCAAAATCACAAGTATCATCAACCTCAATTTAACCTATACATCTCAATATTATGAATATTATTAGGGGATTGTTGGATTTAGCTCCTATTTTGAACCCTCCTATCTTTAAATATGAAAATTAATAAAATATTTGTGATTCATATTTAAACCAATTAATAAATAAAAAATTTAAGAGGATTTGTTTAATTTATGTTTTATATTATTCATACGATTATATATTTTAACTTGGGCAAGAATTGTTGTTTATTTATTTAAAAAATTCTTTAGTAATAAATTAAAAGCTTTTCCTATCTAACCTACCTTTTTTTATTTATCTCTCGTCAGCAAATATGAAGTGATGATTTTAATAAATTTTTTAATTTTACTATTTATTATATATTTATTCTCTAATAAATTTTTAAAGATTCACTAGAGTAAATAATATAATTTTTAAATTTTCTACCAAGCCTACGTGACTTTTTATATTCTTACTTTTTTAGTATCATTTTATTTTGCTATTTATTATATATTTATTCTCTAATAAATTTTTAAAGATTCACTAGAGTATATATTTTTATAAATATCATTTATATATTTTCAAACAAGCCTACGTGATAATTATAAAATATAATTTTTTTAAAGATTAATATATATCAGTTAAAATTGAACCCTCTTATCTTTAAATATGAAAATTAATAAAATATTTAGAATTCGTATTTAAACCAATTAGTAAAAAATAATTAAAGAAGATTTTGTTTATTATATATTTTACATATTCATGCATTTATTATAAAAATTGCATGATTTCTTGAATGTTGTGAAAAGAGAGAAAGCTGAGTAAAAAGGTGTGATGATTTAATTAAAGAAAAAGAAAAATTGGAAATTGAAATATCTTTGATTTACTATTAATTAAAAGAAAAGAAGTAATTTAAGGAAGCAATAAGGTTGTAAAATTTCCATTAACAAGGGGAAACTAATTTTGAATTTGAAATTGGCAGTGATGTTAAAAGACTCGTTGTGACCCGATCTATAAATTCTGCTAACTTAATATTTTAACTAGAAAAATATTGCATAAGCCTCGAAATTTTAGCGAATAGACGTTTAGAACTATGTGTGCCATATATGAGCAAAATCTTCTGGCTTGAGCAATATTTTTTTTGGATAAAATATTGAGTTAGCCGTTTTTAAACGTTTAAAAAACACTAATTGTTAGAATTAAAGGACAATTATGAGTTTCAGAAAAATTGTAAATTATGTTAACGCACACGTTTAATTATATATTCAGAGAAATGATATATTTTTTTAGAGAGAAGAAAATGTATTTAATGGTGTTGAAGTGCGAAAAATATTTTTTTTGGGGAATGCAAGGTTAAATGTAATATTTGAGCGAAAGGTTGTCGAGAAAATTAAAACCATTAGGTTTGAAAAAAAATATTTTAGTATGTTTTAATTGTTTTATTGAGTGTTTGTAAAAATATTTATTTTGTAGTTTGTTTTTCTAAAAAAAAGGGGAGAATTATTTTAAAATTAATTTTTTTTTAAATAAGGTGGGTCCAGTTATTTTGTATAAATCTCATATCAATCTTAAAATGGCAATTTGACTGGATATATGAATAAAGTAATATGTGCTTAATTTATAATTTGTATTTAATGGTGTGAAAGTGGGAAAAATAATATTTTTGCGGAATGCAAGGTTAAATGTAATATTTGAGCGAAAGGTTGTCGTAAAACCATTAGGTTTGAAATAAAAAATTTTGATATGTTTTAATGAGAATTATTTTAAAATTAATTTTTTTAAAAATAAGATATGGTCTAGTTTTTTTTATAAATCTCTTTAATATCAATCATAATATGGCAATTTGACTGGATGATAAAGTAATATGTGCTTATTTACTTAGATTTAATATGTTTATATCTTTAATTTCGTTAATTATGAAACACTTATTTGCTCACAAATTAGTAAAGATTCACTAGAGTAAATATTCTATTTTACATATCATTTATAAATTTTTTAATAAGTAGAACGTTTAAATTTTTATTTTCATAAACATTTTAAAATATTTTATTTAAAAAAAGATTTAATTTTTATCATTTAAAAATTATTTATTATGAATAAATTATTTGGACTCGATAACGCTATGATATATGTATTAGCAATCTGTGCGATCATTTGGACATTTAATGGTGCCATGGGGATAAACATTCATGAGAGACCAATTGACGGTATATATATAATATACATACAATTTTTTAAATATTTGATAAACTTGTATAACTTACACAAAGACCAGAAAATTGAATGGTCGTCATTATTATGTATAACAAATTAAAAGAATAAATTTATGTAATTCGAAATTTCAGGCGGCCTTAAATATATTAAATTAAGTAACACACACAGAATTATAAAATATACAAATTAATAGTAATCATATTAACTAAAGACAGAAAAATAAAAAAAAAAATAGTTTTAGATAGCTACTTTTTTTGTTATCTTTTATCCTGATAGGCTTAAATACTCTAGTATGGCCCTAGCCTTGGTAGGTTTTGATTCTATTTTTCTAACTATCAACTATATGCCACATTCAAAACTTAATTTTACTAATTGTTTTTATCTATATAACCAAGCCTAAAATAAGAATTTATTTTTTTAATAACTTTTGTTTTTAGATTTCTTTTTATTGGACATAATCGCACATTACATGAGAATAAAGTGATTAATTCATAAGTTTATTAACAAATTAAGAGTTTCAGCAATAAAATGGAATGGAATTATAAGAAATATTTTAAGAGTAAATTTTTGAAAACATTTCCTTTAACTCAGCGTTAGTCAGTAAATTTTTTAAGTACATCAAATGGATACAGTTAAATAATAAAGCTTAAAGTTATTTTGTGGTAGTTGAAATTAAAATCTTTTTCTATAATTTTAATCGAACTCAAGATTTTATAATTTGTTTGTAAAAAAAATCTTCTAAAGGGCAAGGATCTTTGAAGATATTTTAATTTTGGGCAAATTTTTAGGGTATAGCAAATAATTATAGAAGTTTCAATTTTCTTATCATAAATATTTAATATTTTTATAAAATTTTATATTTTATATCAAAATAGACTACTATTTGAGACCCCATAAAACAAGTTAAAAATATGATATGCGATAAATTTTATTAAGTTTCGTTTTTATAATTCTTTGTTTCCTGTTATTGATTACTTACTTATATAATTTATCTTAAAGTTTATGGTTTCATCTTATTTTATTTTTTTTATCTTTAAAATTCAAAATATCATTTTTGAATAATGATTATTAGATTTAAAAAATATGAATAAATTTCCACTTTTACTAAAGTTTAACCTTTTGCCAAAATATATGATAAAAACCAAAAATTGATATTCTTAATATATAGCCGAATTAAGAATACAAATTAAGTCAATAAAACAAATTATTTTTTAACTGATAGACAGAGATCTAATTGTCAAGCTATAATAAATATGTCTGGATAAAAATACATATTTACTGAGTTTTGTTAACATATTATTATTTATAAATTTGTATTTTTTATAAAATGCCAATTTATCCCAGTTAATTTAATACCTTATATATGGAGCTTTCCAACACCTTTTCTTATCCTTAATAATAGACAAAAATACAATTTTCATTTCTCAAGATTATTATCTATAAAATAATTTTATAGTTTACATTTTGAATATACAATAAAATTTATAAAAATAAATGCCAAATATAAACATAATTTTGAAGATTATACAAAATATTCGGTTCTTTAAAATTTTTTTTCAGAGACCTGTAGACTAGGGATTTAATTTTAGGAATACCCGGACAGAGTATAAAATTTTTAAAAAATAAATTACTGGGCCCAGGTATATTTTAAAATAGAATATTTTAAATCGCCATTATTAACTATAAAAATTAAAAATATTTAAAATTATTTAAACAGGGATGTGCAAATTGTACCACTAAAGATTTCTGATTATGTTTCTATATACTATTACAAAATTTAATATAAATAAGCTATAAAATAACCCTAATATATATAAATGAAAAAAGAAAATTTGGGAATAATACATTAGATGTTCAAAATACCATGGAGCAAGCTCCGTCATTAGTATAGCAATCACAATTAAAACGATATCTGGATCAATGATAGATCTGGATAAATATAAATAAAATCTTATTTAAGAAAAAAAATTATATATAATCTAGCTAGGGTGTGTAATAACATTACAAATGTATTTTCAGTTTTTGTTTAAAATTTTTTTCTCATATTCTGATTATAATAGCAAAATTATTCTCATTATTTAATACAAATATAATGATTATCATTTCAACCCTTTATTTTTTATTATTATTTTAAATAAATAGGGGATTCAGGCAAATCAGGTCTCCGATTTTTATATAAATGTTTTTTGATTTAAGGGTTTTTAACTTTATTATAAATTATTTTCCTTTTAACATAGTTATATGATATCATATATTACAATAAAAAGCTTTATAAATGTAAGGAGAATAAAATATGTAGTGTATAATTAAAATTAAATAAACAAAATCAGAATCAATCTGTGCAGTTAAGGTACCTAATAAATGTAGCGCATAATATTTTTTAAAGTAGTCATAGCTAGAATGTTCCGATCAGCCGTGTTTATGGTCACGTTGTAAACTTAGATGAAAATTAAAAATCTTAATATGAGTGATTTTTATATAACACGTAGAACTAAAATGTGATGAGATAAGTAATGTCCTATAGTAGATATAAGGGCCGCTATTCATTAGTTAGATTATTTGTTTATCAAAACATTATTAGCCTAAATTATATATAACTCAGCTTGGGGTTAGTAATATTAAACAGGTTTCGTCAGTCTTTGTTTAAAATTTCCTTAATTAGGATTATAATACTAAAATTATTTTTATTATTCAAATCAAAACAATACTTATTATTGGTTTAATCCTATATTTTTTCTAATTTAAAATTACGAACAATTTAGTATTTCAAAGCATTACAGGTTTCCGATTTTTATATAAATATGCATTTATTTTTGACTTATGGGTATGGATTTAATTTTATTATTAATTATTCCCTTTTAACTAAGTTATAGGACATGTAATTATTAAATACGTTTAGTCAGTCTTTTTAAATTTTCTAAATTGGAATATAATATACTAAAATTTATTTCATAATTCAATTTAAATATAATACTTATTATTGTTTGTATCCTATATTTTTTTTATAATTTAAAACATATACAAACATATTTAGATTTTCTACACATTACAGGTCTCCTAACTTTATATAAATGTGCATTTTATTAATTTTTATTAATGGGCTTATTTTATTATAAATTATTATTATCCTTTTAACTTTGTTATGATACTTTAATTATAATAAAAATAAATAAACGTAAAATTACATATAACCTAGCATGGGGGTCTGATTTTATTAAATATGTTTAATCATTCTTTGCTTTAAATTTCTCTAATTCCTAATAATAAAACTAAAATTATTCTTATTATTTAATTTAAATATAATATTTATTTTGTTTTAATCATCTATTTTTTATTCTAATTTTAAAAATATATTGTTAAACCTAAATGACAATTTTGATGAGAAAAGAGCCTTAGAATTAAGTAGTGATAACCTTTATTTATCAGTTTGCTTTCGCTATAGGTGATGAGAGACTTCAATCACATCTAATATCAAGGTTGTTTTATCAAAAAATAATTTGTATAAATTTTATATAACCCATTTTGAGGGCTTAATAGCATAAAATACGTTAGTCAGTTTTTGCTATAAATTTCCCTAAATCTTAGTAATAATATTAAAATTATTATCATTATTCAATTCAAATATTATAATTATTATTGTTTTAATCCTCTATCTTTTATATTAATTTTATATAAAGGAAAACATGTCAATACAGGTCTCAGATATTAATATATTTTTTTTTGATTTATAGGTTTGGATTATATTTTATTCATCGCCGTGGATAGAGATATCTTTAAATAATTTATTATGAAACTCTATTTCTCCTTTTATTCTTTTAAAATAAAATTAAGCATAATTTATGAATAATATAAATCTGATATTTAAAATTTCTTAAACGTAAAAAATATGATCAATCAGTAAAGAAGAATAAGAAAGAAAGAAAGAAAGAAAGAAAGAAAGAAAGAAAGAATGAAAGAAAGAAAGAAAGAAAGAAAGAAAGAAAGAAAGAAAGAAAGAAAGAAAGAAAGAAGGAAAGAAAGAAGGAAAGAAAGAAGGAAAGAAAGAAGGAAAGAAAGTAAATATATGTATAACAAATAAGGAAACTACAATAGTATATCGATTTAAAGTTTTGAGATTTCGCCTTTTTGATCAATTTATAAAGGTACCTAATAAATGTAACGCACTATATTTTTTAAATAGTCTAGCTAGTACTGCATTTTGGTCGGCCGTGGCTTTTTTTGGCCAAGCCGAAAACCCCGTCTTTTATAAAAATTACCCCGGCTAGCTGCTGATTTTAATATTCGCTCTTTATTCTTATAATTTGTCAACATCACTGTTATATCACAATAATTTTGTCTTCATTTTAGAATTGAATCAATCAAAAATTCCATTACTTACCATAATTTTACCTGTATTTAAAATGGAGACCGAATTTTAGAAAATGATTAGGGCATAATTATATAATCTCATTAGAGTGGATATTATTAAATACCTTTTGTTGAAAATATTTTCAATAGAATAAATTTTTATTTATTTAAGCTGCAGAGACAGAATTTGAGTTCGAGGCAAATCAAAGATAAATTAAGTAGGATTTATTTAAAATCATGCTTGAAGGAAAATCTGAAGCAAGTAAAAATTAATTAATAACTTTTTGCAAAGAAATTGGAATCACTATTTCAAACTATAAATCAGAACTAATATAAGAACCATTAAACAGTTGAATTAGTATGATGATATTATGCAGTAAAAATAGCGATGGAGAATCAAGAGTAAATGATATTCAAATTATTTTACAATATTAAAAAATAAGCATTCAACAACAAATACAAATTTTGATTCCTCTTTAAGTCATTTAGCTATCCACCAGATATGGATGTTCTAGATTTCCAGAGAGAAAATAGGATCTAATTTCATTGTTTTTCCACGCTAGCTATTAAAATCTCTTTGTGTTCAGGCAACTAGCACACTTACTTTAAGAGTTTCAACCGCTTGGTTAATCTCGAATTCAAGGGATCATTATTTTAGGAAATTTAAAGAAATTATTTTTAACCATGATCATTAAAATCGATTTTGAATTTATATTAACTTTTCAATACAAATCTAAAAATATGCTGAGATATCTGTAGTGGAGCGTTTATTTTAATTTAATATTTTTAGAAAAAATTAATTAGCAATTAAATAACATTTTATAAAATATTTATAACAGTGCGCCGATTTACGCTGCTTATTTTTTCTAGCGGTATAAACCGATATTTTGAAAGCGCAGAGAGCTAAAATTAGCTACTTATTTAGATATATTAAAAAATAATTTATATAAAATGATAAATATAATTTATTAATTTAATTTTTATATACATCACCTATATTAATTTTGCCTTAGAAAGAATAGAGTTACATGGCTATCTTTAGCTATAATTACTCAAATAAAAAAACAATTAAATGTTTATCATATGAACAGATTAATTGAATTAAATAAACATTATATTTGAGCAAATTTTTAAACCTGTCCTATGTTTATTCATTTATTTATAACTTGTAATCGAAATACACGCATCTTATCCATAATCATGAATAAGATTTAAAATTTATATATTTTATTTACTACTTTTCACAAAATTAGTAACTATGGCCTTCCATTTTTTTCATAAAGTAGCTTTAATGTAGTTAAGTTTATTTAGGGGGAAATATATTTGTGGCAGTAGCACTAAAATTAGCGTTAAAAGCTATTGTAATTTTAAAATACTTTAAATGCTCTTGTCTCTATTTTATTTAAAACTTTTTATAGTTGAAAAATAATTATTAAAACTTTAAAAAGTTTATTCGATTTTACTTATTTTTCTCTATTCCAAACTTAAACTAATTTATCTGTTTAAAATATACTTGTTCTTTACATAAATTTTTATCAAAAAAAATTATTTTTTGAAATATTTCGGTAATTATAAGTTTGTTTGAAGTAACGGGGCTTCAGATACAGGTATTTGGATCCTAATATCAATTACGGTAATAATCGCTTAAGGATCCTCTAAACCATGAAATCTGGTAAGGGTCAAGATTAACTCGATTAATTTTATTAAACCACAAAAATCAATTAATATAGACTTTTATAAAATACAATAAATTACATCTATAAATATATTTTAAACTCAATATTAATAAACCGCAAAAATAATAAAAATTTTTAAAACTCAATTAATAATTCATGAAAATTTATAAACTAAAATATAAGATGGTGTATAGGGAAGAAGAAAAATGAAGGTTGGAAGAGGAGTTGTATTAGTTTTATCTAAAATTAATAGGGTTAAAATCAACCTCCCTATACCATTCAGAATTCTAATTATTCCTCCAGATTAAGGACGATCTCCGGTATTTAACTATCTACTTTCTACTAAAGAATCCAAAAGTAAGACCATAATTAAAAGAAAACACAATAATCATATGTTTTACTTTTAATGTAATTAAATCAAACAAAAGAGGGACTTTAAAAACTATATCTATTTTTTATGTATTTATGGCGAAACAAATGAGGGATTAAAAACGGAACTAGTTTAAAATATATATTTCAACAGTTACAATTATCAAATTTCAAAAATGACGGTTCTTAACGATTCAATGCATAATAAACATAGATTTACTTTTTCGTATATGAGATATTTAGAAATATTCTAATACATACACTGTAATGAATGAGCTCCTATTTTTTATTTACCTATTCAAAATAAAATAAAAATCGTTTAAAATAACAAAGTAGCCTATTCAGTTCATAATTTACATATATTTTACCTTTTTGAATATGCGATTTTTAGAAATATATAATCGAAATAGAATTGGAGTGCTCCACTTGCCCTAATGTTTAAAATGAAAAAATCAACATTTTTAAAATACAATAGAGGAAAAAATTATTGATCAATTTTGACAATAACTTTGACAAAAATTAATATTTTTTAATCTAGTTTTTTTTTATATATTGGAAATATATATGTTATTATCCACTTTTTACTCAAAAATTTTGAAAATGTCAAGGGGAGCACTCCAATTCTAGATCGACGATATATATAAACTGTAAAGGATTTCTTAATATTTATATTATAATATATTAAAAAATATTTTTCTATTTTGTAGGCATGGCTATTCCTGGTAATTATAATAAATATTACAATTGTGGATTATTTATAAATTTCAAGCAATTATTAGAGACAAACGATGCACTAAACTGAACCGGCTAGCCCATTAGAGGGTTCGATATTAAAATTATAAATAAAAATAAAGGTCCGAAGACCCATGGCCATATTTCCTTACTATTATTTCTTGCCAGATTGAATATCACAATTATACTCTGATATAAAAAACAGAAAAGTTGGATAAATAATCAGAAAGTGGGAAATTCATAATACTTTGTAAAAAAAATAGATAAAAGAATTATGAAATACTTATTATATTTTTTTATTATAAAAATTTTTTCTGTAAATTAATTATACCAAAGTATTGTAATTGTAAAAACAATAAGAAAACTCTTGTTGAATTTATCAGAGAACGATGGATATTTTTTTCTAAATTTAAGCGATATATTTAAATAATTTACTATATATGAAAAAGTTTTTCTTAATTTTTATATTATAATAAATTTAAAAAAATTTCTATTTTGTAGGCATGGCTCTTCCTAATAATTATAATAAATATTTCAATTGTGGATTATATAAGAAATAATTGTATTAATAATAAAACAATTTAAACTACATAAAATTTCTTATTGTGTGGGCTGATAGATTGTTGCACATATGAAGGCTTATTGGTTAAATTATTTTTAAAATTTATTTATTAAACTATTATATCCAGTTTTGTAATTGTAAAAACTCATGTGGAATTTATCGAAAAAGAGGGATATATTATTCAAAATGGCGCATCGCTGTGGATAGAGATATCTTTAAATATTTTACTATTAAACTCTATTTCTCTTTATATTCTTTTGAAATATAATTAAGCATAATTTAAGAATAAAAATCTGATATTTAAAATTTATTAAACGTAATAAATATGATCAATCAGTAAAGAAAGAAAGAAAGAAAGAAATAAATTTTTTAAATAAAATATATGTATAACAAATAAGTAAACTACAATAGTATATCGAATTTAAAGTTTTGAGATTTAGCATTTATTTTTATCAATTTATATCAATGTCAATTAATTAAATAAACAATTTAGGAGAAAAATAAAAGCATTTTAAATAAAAAAAAATGATAGTTAATAGAATTTTAAAAAAATATTTTCTAATAGAATTACTATTAAATAATTATATAGTAACATATATTAAAATTAATTTGCATATATAGGAGAAGCTGCTAATCTTCCAGGTACTTAAAATTATATTATATTCTTATAGCAAAATAAATAATTAAAATTTTAAACGATTCATAAATATAAACAATCAATAATCTAAGAAAATATGTCAAAACAATTTGATAATTTGCATCGATATAAGAAATATAAGGTTAAAGAAAATTATAAATCGATAATAGAATTTTTATAAAAAATATTTTGGAGGAAAAGGGAAACTCTTATTAAACTTTATAAATTATTAATTTTCATTTATATGAAGAATATAAAAAATTGCTCATATAAGGATTATTATGAGGTTGAGTTTTTAACATTCTCTTGTATGAAAACTGTTTTTTTAATAATTTTATAAAAAAATCGCATTGCTTGTAAAAAATATATCATTTGAACCACTAATTAATTAATTTTTTTTCATTAGAAATGAGAAATATTTATATATTTGAAATCAGCATTCAATTAGGATTATAATGATGTCTGCGATATATTATATTTATGGAAAAAAGTTTATAAAAAGCAAATTTCTCATTTATGATAAAAAAAAATAGTGATTCCTATTTAGTGCTTAAATGGCACATGTATATTTTACAAACAATAGAAATTTATTTTAAAATTATATAAAAATGAAAGTTTTATATGAGAATATTTAATCATAGTCTTTAATAAAGCATGTTAAAAATTTTCTCCACTTATAAACAAAATAAAATAAATAAAGAAAAGTTTTATACGAGAATGTTTAAAAACATAACCTCGTATAAATCCTTTGATCTTGTTTTTATTAGTTGGTGTGCATTCGAGTCCTAACAGAGTTTATTAATTACGATTAAATATATATGTATTAAACACTTATAGGAGAAGCTGCTAATGTTCCAGGTACTTTTTGAAGCAAAAATAATAATTAAAATTTTAATCCATACATAAATATAAACGATCAATACACTTAGATATAATGTCAGTACAATTCGATAATATATATCGTTAAATGCTAAATTGTAAAAAACTAATTTTAAAAGTAGCAAGCTACTGCTATCGCAATTTGTAAAAAAAATAGCATGCTACAGCTATAGCTTACCCATCAAAAAAAATTAGCGCGCCATTAACTACTATTTTTTAAAAGTAGCTTGGGTTACTCTTTACGCTACTTTTTATAAAAAAAAATTAGAAATAAATTAGTCTTATTTTTTTTGCTCATAATGTAATTCACAGTATAAAATATATACATAAAAATCAAAATAAAGTTAGGTTTGATTATGAAAAAAAGATTATTATTTATATAATTATAAATAATAATATTCATTTTTTATTTATTTTATTGCATTTTAATAAAAAATTTATATCTACGATCAAAAAAAATAAGTTTCGCCTTAGTAAATAATCTCCACTTGAATGCAAGACAGTATTTAATTTTGTGTGCATATTTATACATAAGTAAAATTATGAAAAATACTCCTTTGTATTAAAAAGCGCTTCTAGGGGATTTTCTATTACATTAGTATTCTATATTTGAAAAAGGTTATCAATGGAAATCGTTTTTATGGTTCTAACTATTTGTTTAATATCTCAATCATTAGTATCTGGCGATAAACTATTGTTGTATCAAGAGATAGAGTTTTGATTATATTGGTATGTCTTTGATGTGCAGGACCTAATTAACAGAAAACTATTCAATTATTTACTTGCTCGCAACTGTGAAAATCATTTTAGTCTCAATGACCCGTTTGTTTTAATGTGCAGCCAAATTATTGTCTTCGCCGCTCATTAGTATACCAGTTTCACATTACATATACCCACAAACTTAAAAAAAATATTAATTACTTGCAACATTTGTGCAAAATATGTTAAAGGGACAAAGGCCAATCTTTTATACAAACATAGGTACAAAGGGATTACATGTTCTTCCTCTCAAAAAGTTTCAAATAATAGAATTATATAATATTTAAACCTTTATAAAATATTACTGAGCTTCATCGTCAAATATTAACATTATCTTAGACCAAACTTGACATGCCTAGCCAATATATCTAGAAACCTAATTTCAAATTTTTTTACAAACTAATCTAAATAGTCAATGACAACTTAAATTTCTTAAAATTATGGGAAGACTTACTATTCTGCAAATGTCTTATGTATCCTGTTAACAAATAGACCTCATGAACAAATAAAATCCCACATATTTACCAAATATTAAGTAAACTCTATAAAATTGAAATAGATGATACAACAAACAAATTGAAAATATATCAATTAAAATAGATCGAAGTGGCATAGGTGGCTCAATTAAGCTTTTATCTTCAGATAACCATCTTTCTCCTATTAATATAGAAACTATACAACATTAAACTTTTATCTTTAGATAACCATCTTTCTCCTATTAATATAGAAACTATACAACAGACGATCACATTTCGAATCATCTTGAACCCACAAATTTATCAGAAGGTGATGTAAGGTCTCATGGTATGACAACTATACCTTGGCCTCTTGGTAAATCTTTAATTTGGTATTACACATGTCATTCTTTATTCCCCTCAAACTTAAATATCAACCCACTAATACAGGCAGAAACTAAAAAGATTAACAAATACAAAAATTTTAATAACTTCATATTCACTCCAATATTGACTTCAACAAGTGGTCATTTTTCGTCATTATATAAATTTTAAAAAAAAACAGGTAATACGAAGCCAAAGAATTTTGCCATAAATAGACATAATTATGGTTCCATTTTGGGAACTTAATTATAAAATTGTATTTTTAATTATATATATATTTTGTTTAAATTTTTATAGTATTATAATTTAATCTAAATTGTAATTTATTTTACAATTAAAAAATTATTAAAAATAAAAATTTCATATGAGAATGATTAAAATAACAATATCGTATAAATTCATTGATCTTTATTTTTTTTTATAAGACCAAGTTAAATATTCTCTACTCGTATAATTAAAAAAATTATATTAAATAAAAGTTTTAGAGAAAATGTTTTAACACAACCTCGTATAAATTCTTTGATCTTTGTTTTTATACGAGGTGGTATACTATGGAGTCCTTAGGCACATTTATTATTTAATAATTTATAATAAAAATTATATTAAATTTATAGTAGAAAATGCTGCTCTTCCAAGTACTTAAAATTATATTATATTCTCCAAGCATGAAAAAATAATTAAATTTTTAATCCAATCATAAATATAAACCATTATTACACTAGAAAAAATATCAAAACAATAGGATTATTTATATTGTATAAGGATAAATCAGACTAAAGAACATTTTTAATCGATAATAGAATATTAAAAAAAATATTTTAAAAGATGAGGAAGTCCTAAGTCATTTAGGAATTTAATTAATTATTTACTAACTTTTATTAAAATTAAATATATCTATAGATGAAAATGCTTTAGTTCCAGGTACTTAAAATTATAGAATAATTTATAAGGCAAATATTACGTTTGTTTTGATTTGCAACTCATTTAAATTTAAAGTGGGAATATTTATCATCTCGGACATATGTAGGATTAGCTTGCAACATATGCAAATATCATCGTGTATTATTTGTAGATGGCGCAAGGAGAAGTAATATGACAAGTTACCCTACAATTAAAAATAACCAAAAATTGTAAAATCCATCTTTGTTTATCCTAAATCAAAAGAAATATTTTGTATTAACAATGTGGTGAATAACTGCACTAATGGCGAAAATACCTTAAAACAAGTATTAAAACTTGAACGGCGAAGGTCTAAAGGAATATATAACTTATTGTCTAATAAAAAAATAGTTTTAAATGGAGGGGGGGGGGTTAAACTGTTTAAAAAGCTGTAAAATATGGAAACTGAAGTTCATTAAGATCATGTAGTAATCCTTATATAAGGATACTATATTCTCTCTATTTGTATATTTCAAATAAAGTTATTGATTACATAATAAAACTTAGAATTTTTTTTTATTATATTGATAGCTTTATTGTAAAATAAGGTTTAATGGTGAGATAATTGTTTGTGTTGATTATAAAG